GGCCCTGGGCGGTAGGTGGCGCCGAGGGTAGAGGCCTGGCCTGGAGGCCGCGGTGGCCGCGGAGGAGGGGGGCTCTGCAGGGGCTGCGCAGGGCTCCCGGGCAGGTCGCTGTCAGGCCATCGCAGGGTTCCAGCCAGGGCCTGGTTACACGGCCGCCCTCTCACCTCTCGGCTTATCCTCAGGGGTGGGGACACTCAGCCCTGGGAGCTGGGTTCTGACCCTGCCAGCGGTTCCTCTGCAGAGCCAAAAGCACCGGTTCTTGTCCCGTGTTCACTCTGGGGTTCCTCCTGCTAGGTTTCCGACTCTGGATCCCCGGCTGTCCCCAACTCCCTGGCCACCACCAACTCCCTGGGCACCACCAGATCCCCAGCTGTACCCAACTCCCCGGCCACCGCCAGCTTCTCCCAGTCTTCTTTGGGCGAGAAGACAAAGGAAGCCCTGCCCTCAGCTGGTCAGCTGCCCCACCTAGCAGCCCAGCAGAACAAGGTGAGGAGGTCGGGTCCAGAACAGGCTGTGGGTGACCATGGGGTGGCCGCCTGACCTGACAGCACCCTGTGTCCCCAGGTCCCCTCAAAGGTTGCCATCTCTGAGCTCAAGTCGTGCCTGCAGCGGGCACGGGAACTGGGTGTGCAGGTCCAGGCGCTGAGAGCTAGTGCCCAAGAGGATGCTGGGGCAACCAGCACGCCAGGGGCTGAGGAGCCTCCCAAGCAGTCATGGTGAGTCCTGGGCGGGTGGACAGGCCCCAAGAAAGGGCTAGGGAGGACCGTAGGGGTCAGGGCTGGGTAGAGGGCTGGGGCTCCTCCCAGGAAGATGGCCAGTATCGGGGTACAGAGCCAGATCCCCGAAGCAGATTGCAGCTTACTGTCTGCATCCCCCGCCCCCACCTGTACAGGGGTAGCTCCAGCCTCAAGGGCTTTGGTGGATTCAAGCCCCATCCTAGGCCCTGTTGCCCATCACCTCTGGGAGCCTAGGAAGCTGGGCTGCAGAGATATCACAGCTTCCCTGGGGTGCCAGGTGGGTGGCAGAGCAGGGTCTTCGGGCTCTTCAGTCCCGATGCTACAGCTCCGCAGGTGTCTCCCTGGTGGGCCCCTCGGCACCGGGCCCCTTTGGAGTGTCTCAAGTGAATACTCCCTCCCCACAGCAGTGAGAAGGCGCCTGCCTACCAGCGCTTCCACTCGCTGGTGCAGCCCGGGCCTCCGGGGCTGGTGCTGCCCTTCAAGTACCAGGTGCTGGCTGAGATGTTCCGCAGCATGGACACTGTGGTGGGCATGCTGCATAACCGTGCCGAGACAGCCACCTTTGCCAAGGTCCAGCGGGCCGTGCAGGACCTGACACGCAGGTGAGTGGCGGGTGTGGCGTGGTAGCCTGGGTGTGCCCGACAGGCCCTCCTGACCTCAGCCTCCCACAGGCGCTTCGAGGAGCGCAGCATTGGCCAGATCAAGGCTGTGTATCCCGACTGCTACTGCTTCCGCCAGGAGCGCAATGTCCCCACCTTCAAGGACGGCGTCCGGAGGTCGGACTACCAGCTCACCATCGAGCCAGTGCTGGATCAAGGTGTGCCTGCCCTGCCTGTTTCTTTGAGAATGGATGCGGGGTGCTGCCTGGGACCATGGGCGTGGAGTGGTGGTGGGTAGCCTGCTGGCTCAGGCCTGGACTCTCCCTGCAGAGACTGGTGCCACCTCAGCACTCACGGCCTCACGCCTCCTGCAGCGGCGGCAGGTCTTCAGGCAGAAGCTGGTGGAGCGGGTGAAGGAGCACCACAGGGTAAGCTCGGGGCCTCTGAGTGGACCAGGTCCCATGGCGTATATGGTCCCCGTGGGGTAGATGAGCCCTGTGGCATACATGGGGCCACATGACGTAGATGGGCTCAGGCATCTGTACCACCCTTGGCACCTCATCCAGTGCCCAGAGGTCCCTGCCATCCATAGCCTGGCCCTGATGCTGGAGGGAAGGGTGCCCACCCTGCTGATGGCAGGGAGTGGGGGCTGAGTCATTCTGCCCCAGCTGAGCGCTGGTGCACTCAGAGTTGCAGGCTCGGGGACGAGGGGACTCCAGTGGTCTCTAGTGACTGCTGGCTGTGTGCTCTCCTTGCTAGTTGAGCGCCTAGGCACAGAGAAGTCAAGTGACCTGCTGAAGGCTGCCCAGCTGGGACGGGAGCCCAGAGAGTCTCACCCTCACGCAGCCTGCCCATGTCTGTGATTTGCCTGGGTCACCTTTCCCGCCACCTTCTCTCACAGGTCTTCCTGGCCTCTCTGAACCCCCCCTTGGTGGTGCCTGAGGACCAGCTGACCCGCTGGCACCCACGTTTCAATGTGGATGAGGTGCCGGACATCGAGCCAGCCGTGCTGCCCCAGCCGCCCACCACCGAGAAGCTCACCACCGCCCGGGAGGTGCTGGCCCGGGCCCGCAGCCTGATGTCACCCAGGGTGAGGCTGCTGTGCTCTGTGCCTTGCTCTTCCTGGGTGGGGACCAGCCCCTCTCGCATGCCAGATGTAATAGGTAGAGCCTCCATGGGGCACCCAAAGCCTCATCTGCCTTCACCTTGGCTGGGGGCCCAGGACGGCGGGACATACCTCAGTCACCAGCTGCAGCCTCTGTCTGTGCCCAGTGCTGCTCTGCCCCCACAGAGGAGCTACCCTGATAGGCACAGACCCCTGGTGCGCCGGGTGAACCTGCGCCTGGAGGGACACGGGCTCCTGGCAGGGAGTCCAGGCGAGGGTGAGGGGCTCCTCAGGGCTGGGCCTGTCTCTCGTGACTGCCCCCGACCTGTTCCTCTGCAGATGGAGAAGGCCTTGAGCCAGCTGGCCCTGCGCTCTGCCGAGCCCAGCAGCCCCGAGTCCCCCTGCCCAGCCCTGCCGGCTACCCCACCCGCCACCCCGCCCAGCGCCCTGAAGGGGGTGTCCCAGGACCTGCTGGAACGCGTGAGTCCCCGGTGTTGATGGGTTGGGGGACCATGGGACCTGGTGACTGCCTCCCGCCCACTGGCCTCCTGCGCTCCCTGCAGGTCCGGGCCAAGGAGGCACAGAAGCAGCTAGCACAGATGACACGGCGCCCAGAGCAGGAGCAGCGGCTGCAGCGGCTAGAGCGGCTGCCTGAGCTGGCCCGCGTGCTGCGTGGCATCTTCGTGTCAGAGCGCAAGCCAGCACTCAGCATGGAGGCGGTCTGCACCAGGATGGCAGGCAGCTGCCGCGCTGCCCTGAGCCCTGGTATGTGGGTGGGGAGGGGCATGCTCCCAGGCTCCCACCCAGGGGTGCCATTGTGGGTCTGGTCCATTCACCAGATGTGTGTTGAGCACCTGCTGTGTGCACTAGCCTGTGCTGGGTGCTGCACCCTCCTCAGGGTCACCGTCTCCAGCCCCCAGCCTTAGGGCCTTTTCATGGGGCCTCCACTGCAGGGTTACCACTTGGTGTCCCATCACTGTGTTCTCCACTTGTTGGCACAGATGGTGAGCCCAGGCCTCTGCTGGGGACCACTCTGCCCTGAGGCCCGTTGATGGGGCCTTGACGCTCTGTGAGCAAACAGGCGTGGGTTGGCAGCTGCACTGGTCATGGGAGTGCAGTCTGTGGGTGCTGGGCGTGACCTCACTGACCTACCTCTGCAGGCGAGATGGAAAAGCACCTGCTGCTTCTCTCTGAGCTGCTGCCCGACTGGCTCAGCCTCCACCGCATCCGTGCTGACACCTACATCAAGTTGGACAAGGCCGCTGACCTGGCTGCCATCACAGCACGCCTGGCCCAACATGCCCGCATCGAGGAGGGGCTGTGAGCCCAGCAGCTACCAAGACACAGCACTCAGGCCTGGGTCCCCGTGCTTGTTTTATCCCCTTACACATGACAGACTCTTCCCTTCTGAGCCCCTGAGGCCTCCTGGCCGTGGTTGGACCCGGCCTTGTGGGTCACATGTGCTGTGTTGCTAGTAAACTGGTTGCTGCCGGTGGTCTCTTGCTGCTTTGGTGAAGGGAAGCCAAATCTCAGCACCTGCTGGGGTGTTAGGGCAGCGGGCTAGGGGAAAGTGTAGCATGCAGTCCCTCCCTTGGAGGTCCCTGTCCTGGCCCTGTGGACGTGACCCCATGTGGCAGAAGGGCACTTGGGTATTAAGAATTTCAAAATGGGGAGATGGCCTGAGTCATTGTGGTGGGCCCAGTGTCGCCACAGGGTGCTGATCAGAGGACACCAGCAGAAACCACCTGGTCAGTGTGTAGACAGCCTCGAGAGCTGGGGAGACAGGGAGGCGGCCTTGCAGCCTCCATGAGGGCCTCCGCCACCTGGATTTAGCACCTCCAACCTCTAGAGTCCTCAGATAACACAGATAATGCAGTGCCTGGACCACCAGGCTCATAGTACTTGGAACCAGGAGGCTGCTCGCAGTGTGATCTCACTGACAGGCTCTGCATCACCACTGAACCTCAGGTTGCACCCTAAAGCATGGGGCCATGGCCCTGTACCCATGGCACCCGGATGCAAGGAATGCCAGATGGCAGGTACTCTGCATGGAACCCATCCACAGCACTGCCGTCAGCCCATCTCACAGGAGGCTAAGGCTCAGAGACGACACCATTCCCGCCCTGGACAATGCAATGACAGGAGACAGCATGTGGCAAGGCCATTTACTCTGTTCTCATTTTGTTTTTTGCACTTGGGCTGGCATGGCTCTTCTCACAGTCTCCGCCTTCCTGGACTTTGGCACGTCCAGCAGCTGTGGGGCCTGGGGCACCAAACACTGGAGTCACTCAGCTGAGGACTTGCGCTTCAGGTGGGCGGCTGGTACCCTGGGGGCTGGCACAGCAGCTTCAGCGGTCCGAGGCGATGCCCTCCCACCAGTCAGTCGTACTGCAGGAGGGAGAAGAAGGGCACGGAGCCCAGCTTCTCCCGGCCCTGGAGGGAAGTCAGCTCCACCAGGCTCACGCACTCCAGCACTTCAGCCTGCAGGCGGCCCAGCAACTCACAGGCTGCATGCATTGTTCCTGGGGAGGGCGAGGCCACAGCTCCAGCCCGGGCTGCCCCGTGTGCGGGCCAGTCCTGGGAGGAAGGACTGGCCGGCCACGAGGCTCCTGTGGCGCCGGTCAACTGAGGGGAGATCCCACCCCCTCCCACTCCTGCCAGTGCACTGGGGCCAGGCCAGCTCCTCAGCCTGGGCTGTCTGCTTGGGAGACCCTCACCACCAGTGGCCAACAGGTCGTCCACGACAACCACCTTCTGTCCGGGTTCTAGGGCATCTCTCTGGATCTCCAGCTCAGCCTGTGGGCGGGAAGCACACGGGTCCTCAGTTGCCCAGAGAAAACAGATTGGTGCACAGGCTGGGAGCTGACAAGTGGCCACCCCAACCCAGTCCCAGCTTCACCTTGCTGCTTCCGTCTGAGCCTGGCTCATGTTTAACCACAGCGGTGCCACCTGCCCCCCACCCCAGTACCTTTGGGAACTGAGGAAGGGTGGCCTGGCCCTGCCCTCTGGCCACCCCTGCCCCCTCACCTTCCCGTATTCCAGGGCATACGAGGCCCACACGGTGGGGCCTGGCAGCTTCCCCCGCTTTCTGATGAGCAAGCAGCCCAGGCCCAGCTCCTGGGCCAGGGAGGGGCCGAACAGGAAGCCTCGGGAGTCTAGGCCTGTTGGGGTGAGAGCCTGGGAGTGACATGGGGATCCCTGTGGGCCAGGCCGGCTGGTGACAGTGGTCATGACGGTGACAGAGCAGTGGCCTTGTCAGCTGCAGCTAAGGCCGATAACTGCCACCATTGGGAAATGTTTACCCAGCACCTCCCCATGGGGGCACTGCTGGGAAGTCAGGGTGCAGACCCCGGCCCATCTTTCAGGCCACTTAGCTGTCAAGTATCTAGATCTCTCTCAGAGTTCAGCGGCCCCCACTGGGCTGGTGGAAACGAAGCGGTTCAGCAGGCTGGCGGGCCTCACACAGGGCTCCCACCCTTTCCCAGGGCTGCTCTGCCCAGGGCTTTCTGTCCACAAGGGTGGCAGCGACAGACACCAGCCATCTCTCCGGGTGGTCTGAGTTGTGAGGGGGAAGCTCAGGCACCCTTTCCCTGCCTGGAGTGAGGTCAGAAAGGGCTTCCTGCAGCAAGTGAGTGCTCATGCCCTTGGAGAGAGTAGTCTGGCAGGACTGTGTCCCCGGGGACTTCTCCATTCCCTGGGGGGCGCTGAACAGTCTAATGCCAGAGAAGGGCCTGGCACACAGTAGGTGCTCCACACGGACTGCAGAAGGGGACAAGGAAGCTGGACCCAGTGGACTCAGGTTGGACACTCCTGGGAGACCCTGGACCCCGCGGCTGGGTCCGCCTGTCCCGTGGGGGCCTGAGCGACACCAAGCGCCCGCAGGGTCCTCCATCCCCTCCAACTCCCCTCCCCCGGGCAGCCCCGCCAGGAGAAGGCGGCGGTCACTCGCCTGCGATGTAATCGATGCGGCTGCCGTGCATCTTCTTCAGGTGGCGCGCCAGGAGGCTGATGGCGGCGCGGAAGGAGGCGGGGTCCTTCAGGACCGGCGAGATGTCCC